ATTGTTATTGAAGGCCCCCTGAGTACTGCCATTCTCATAATCCCTGCTCTTACTGAGTACTACCATTCCCATTATCCCTGCACTGACTGAGTACTACCAGTCTCATTATCCCTGCTCTGCACTAACTGAGTACTACCATTCCCATTATCTCTGCCCTGACTGAGTACTATCATTCTCATTATCCCTGCTCTGCACTACCTGAGTACTGCCATTCTCATTAACCCTGTGTGGCAGTTACCGTTCCTGTGGAACTCGCTTCCCTCCTCCGTTAGATGCTCACCCAGTCTCCACTCCTTCAAAAAATCGTTAAAACCCACTTCTTCCTAAAAGCGTATCAATTAAACTGTTAATAGCTCCCGACTGATTCCTCTTCTGCAACTGTTACTAGTCTAATACTATCCTTACCTTTTTGTGTTATTTTACCGCACTCCCTCTAGTATGTAAGCTCATTGAGCAGGGCCCTCAACCCCCCTGTTCCTGTGTGTCCAACTTGTCTGGTTACAACTACATGTCTGTTCGTCCACCCATTGTAAAGCGCTGCAGAATTTGATGGCGCTATATAAACAACATAATAATATTTCTGTATCTGTGTGTATTTCTCGCCGCTCAGCAGTCAATGCGGCGTCTTTGTATACTATGTCTATGGCTCACATGCTGCACTGGCCAATCACAGCCATGCCATTAGTAGGCATGGCTGTGATGGCTTCGTAGGGATAACAAGTCAAACGCTCGTTGATTGGCTGCCCTGCAACCTTTCAAAACGGGCGATTAAATCGCCGAACACCGAACTCCAACCCGAACATACACTGAAATGTCTGTGTTCGGGTCTGGGGTCCAAAAACCGTAATGTTTGGTATGAACCTGAACTTTGCGGTTCGGGTTCGCTCAACTCTAGTCTACACTAAAATGTTTTATATTATAGAATTTCTGTAAAAGAGCAGTTTTGTAGACACAGTCTAGCATATAGGTATAATATGTGTTAGATTTTATTTTAAATAAGAATCTTTATACACTTGCTATCAAATATTATCTTGCACCTCTAGTGCTAAAACTAACACAAAAGTTGTAAGTGAAATGTATCCATCCTTAATGATTTTAATTATGAGCTATATGTGAGTTAAGCACATTTTTAAATTATATTGCAAATTAAATTACCGATCAGTCTAGCTGCAAGTTTTTGCTTGAGGTTTAGTAATGCACGCCTCTATATAAATACTCTGAGAGGAATTTAACCCATTCTCCCCAAATGCATGTATTCCCATGTTAACTTTAATTTTGCATTTTTTCAACATTCGGCCAATAAGGCTTCTTTGCTCCAACACTGATTTCCCCCTAACAAGAAACACATTTTGCTGCCATTGTTCAATTCTATCCTTCTGTATCTCTGTGACATTTGTATATCAAACTTCTAGGCTAAACTCTAACAATTAGGGCTTTGGGTGTAGTGGGACCCTCAGCACACTGAGAAAACTACAATGATAATTTGTAGGCTACTGTAGCAGCTTGAATTGACCTATGAAGTACAGATGCATGGTGTAACTGTACTTGCTGTATGTGAGTTTTAAGACCACATTTTTGAAGTATGTGTACTTTCTAGGTGCATCTTCAGCAATGTGTATTTTCAGAAATTCAAATTTATATAATAACAACAACTGCTGTGACAAACTCCCCTCTCCAAGTGAGTTTGCCACAAGCTCCTGGAGGAGCCTGCTTGCCAGCCTCCTGCCCACAGACTATGGACCCTGTGTCAAGGATCTTACCTGAAGTGGGAGTCCGGCACGCAGAGTTGAGGCACCCTTTGCAATTCGACACAGACCGAGGGGACTCAGGACAGAAATCCCCAAGGCTGTGACACAGTGCACTGGGGCTGAAATAACCAGTGCTTCCTGGAACGCAGTACAGACAAGGATATCCAGAAGAGTAGTCAGTATCAGAATCAGAAGTCAGGACGGGCAGCAATCAGGCGAAAACAGTAGACGAGCAGGAGATCAAAAGCAGGAGTCAGATGAACAGCAGTGAAACCAAACAGGAACAGGAAACACGATCTGACAACGAGAACCAGCCTTGCGGGGTTTAAATAGGGAGTCTCAGCCAATCATCAAGGAACCAGGAACAGGTGTGCACATTCCAGGCGTACAGGCTCAGACTACAGGATACCAAGAACAACCAGAAACAGTCAAAGATGCGTGGAGCTCAATGCAAGGATACCGACTGGGATGCAGGAAACTCAGGTTTGATCCCAGCCAGACCCAAATACACAATAATGTGTAAAGCACAATGGTGATCCTGACACCCTGCAGGGAAACCTGTAAAAGACTACCAAACTTAACCGACTGTTAGCACTGATTTCCCTGGAACTGTTTTGGACATGGCGCCATACTTGCGGTCGGTCAAAACTATATGCATACATAAATCAGGTGGAGCTTCTTAAAATAACAGTATAACAGATATTCTGTAAAATAAAATATAGACCATAGTGCAATACAGTAGTAAAAGTTAAATTAAAAATGTATATACAGTAGGTTATCCACTCACAAGCCTGGAGTCATAATCTCATATGACACGGATGGTGTATGCCTTTGTCAAAACTATGACTTCCAGGAAATTCCTGAACCACTGATCTGGGTGAATTTTGGATATGTTGTTCACCCAGATCGGGGCTATCAGGGGATTTATGGGGTTTCGTGTGTGTTTTTAAGGTACTTTTTGGGGTTTCATAAAATTGTATGTTTTTTTCTGTGCTTTGAGATAATTAGGTTAGATTAGTACAGTTTCTGATTCAATTATCCCTAAGCACAGAGGAGGGATTCTATTGTTTGACTCTGTTTTTATTGGCTTGTACACTTTGTGTCCCTGTGCCCAACAAGGTCCACCTGGGTGTAGCCCTTGTTGGGAAACTTGCATAAAAGGCCAGTGTGCCTCCATTAAAGGCTATTCCAGCTTACACTCCAAAACTGTGTGTCGTCCTGTTATTGGAGGGAAAGAAGATTTACTCCTGTTCCAGCTTTCAGGGGATTCAACAGGGAAAGTCCTTGTAAGGACTAGCGCTCCCAGGACTGAGTGTCGTCCAGTGCCTGTGGGTGTCTAGAGCTAATTCCCCACTCTGCTCCAGGAGGGAGCGGTTCCAGGGCCCCAGTCAAGCCACCGTGACTATGGGCAGAAGTGCTGTGGTTTGTCCCCTGTTCCAGTTAGGAAACGGTCCTTGGCGGAGGTACCCAGCCAGGGGCACAGGGAGCTCCGTTACAACTGTATATAACAAAAATTGTACCTCTGCTTTTATGAATACCATATAATCTATATATACTTTTCTTCCACCTATATTTATTAGTATTTCTTTAAATGATGAACAAATAAATAAATAAAAATTCTGTACATTTACTTGATTTTATTTTTAGGCATCACTAAGCAGCAAAATATATATGTGAAATTATTTTATTATACAAGTATGTACTAGCAATGTAATTCTAGGTTTTAAAATTTGAAGCTTAATTTTTATAAAGCTCAACGTCGTCAAAAGAACTTTGAACTATTGTTGCAATGTCTTGTTGCTCAAGTGTGTGTGTGTATTTAATTGTGTGTCTATACTATTTTTTTTTATTATTTTTTTATTTTGCATTCTGTGTCAGTCAAGGACTCTTGCCAAGCCTGGGGATGGTGAAAAAAGATAGCTGCCATTTATATTTTAAGAGGTGATTTTATTGACTGGCCGCTGTGAAATAATTTATAAGCTCTGTTTCGTTGTGACCTTGAGCATCTTCCTTTTCAGTTGGGACCAAGAGAAATGTGCACTGTTCCTTTGCCTTTCAGGAAAACTCAGTTTAAATCTTCCTTTGCTGGAAGCAGACTGTTAATCTTGTAAAAAGAAATTTCATCACGGAATTGTGATGGCTAAATATGTAAGCAATGTGTAAATAGAATTTGTAGATTAAAAAATATCCCATTTCTTTAATGAGTCTTTTCCAGCAAGAATGTTATGTACATTAGACAGAAAGATAGACAGGCAGTCGAATTGCAATTTGTCCAAATTTAGGACAATTTCTGGATATTCCAAACTCCTACAACTTGTGCTGTGGACTAGTATGTGCTTTTGATTCGTGATTTTGAATGCCATCCATGGCGCCCCCAAAAAAAGAAATGATAGTTGAGAAAAACGATGATTGATGGTTAGGGGGCAGCTTCTAATTGTTGATTTTACTTACAGATCAAATGGGAAGTGACCTGCAGAGAAAAAATAAGGAGGAGCAGTAAAAACGTCACTCTCTTTCTATGTATATTTGTAGATAATATTTACTAAATATATAGTAAATAAATATAGATTTCGGTATTGCTCCTTCTCTGTAACCCTCTGTTGATGACTTTTTCTCACTTGTTCTGTGAACCAAATATTTACATTATGTAAAGCAGTACACTGATTGGACCTTTTGTCACAGTCATTTGATTAGTCAGAATTGTTTCCCTGATTCATTTGTGTGGATGATATTTGGACAAGCTGAACAACCTCAAGGACTACTTACTATCAGACATTTTGAACAAAGTGATTCAGTCAAACAAAATTTTTCCACTGTGTCCTAGATATATAGATAGATAGATATATAGATAGATAGATAGATAGATAGATAGATAATTTCCACTTAGCATTTAATTATATTTTTGGAATAATTATAACATGCCAAGACTACTGGCCATTTCTATTAAGTAATATTAATGTTCTATTATGGATCTCTTGTGAATTTACAGCCGGTTTTGTGCAAGCATTCATGTGTACAAAGAAGTACATCACTGAGAGTGATTTTGTTCCCTTGACTTGGTATTTATCATAATGTGCACACAGTGAAATTGTATGGGGGAGATTTATCAAAGAAAACCAAATGTCATTCTGGTAGCGCTAAATGTTGAGAGGCATGTTACTTTCCATGGTAATTGTACCATATTGTTAAGTCTCCCTCTTCATATCTTCCATATAAGAATTCACTTAGGTCAATAATGAAAATGTGGGGGTGGGCCCTGACCAGCATGGAGGACAAACGTGCCATAGCAGAGCTCCTCAGCAAACCTGGAGATTAATGGCACATCCAGCCACACAAAGCCTATAAATGGAGCCCAATATCGACTTACCTGACCCATGATGGAGCTGGGAACCGATGTGGTGGTCTGTGACCCACCTGAAGCCTGTTGAAAGCACTCCTCACAGCATGGGACCCGACGATCTCCCGGTCCGGGGCCGCATGGTGACGATGCCCAATGAGCAGGAGCCATGTTACTCCCTTCCCCCCCCAGACCATTGGGGATGACCGCGGTTCAATACAGAGAGGCAATCCCGGAACAAGGAGAGCGCAGGGTGAAGCCACCTTAACATACAGATTATACAGCGAGACACCCATCATGGCGACTGCCACGTGCCTCCCTGGCCCCACGGACCCAGACCAGGGACTATCACAAAAGTTGGATGCACTACTTGCCAATTTCTGGCACAAGATAGAGGGCAGAACGCAACCACTTACCTCCCACCAGCCACACAGCCACCCGACAAAGGCTGCCTCCACCTCGGAAGATCCCTCTGAAAGCCTCACCTGCAGGACAGGCCACATCATGGCGGTGGACCACGCTGCATAAGAGGTGGAAACACCGCACGAGACACCACTGGGGACACACTGTACAGAGGAGGATCAGGACCCGACGTGCTCACCCGCCCCACCTGGCGTTACTCAAGACCAGAGGCCTACAACATACCGGTCCATTTCAGATCCCCCTTGTGAACGTTTAGAGAGACGACAACATGGGGGCAATGGCAGCCTCATACCAAGAAGGTGACCAGCTATGGCCCAACCACGACCCTCACACTGGGCCCATGTACCAAGCCTCTAGAGTCGGAGTGGGATGATCACTATGGACTGCCATATGGACTAATCACGCTCCGCAGTGCACAGAAGCAGGTTCAGTCCAAAAAGCCCGAAGTTAACACCCATTGAGTTACTTAAAGCTAGCCAGTCTTATTTGTGTCTACCTTGTATATACCTTTTAAATGTTAATTCACAGCCTGTGCCCACAAACCTCACTGGGCCTTTAAACCCCGTCTCACTCCCATGATTGTTCATTAAGTCCATCTACAAGCATATTTTAAAGGGGCTATACTACAAAGTTAAGCATGCTATCTATATAACTAAAATCTAAGAAACCTAATACATGGGAGCTTTCCCTCACCTAACAGCCCCCCTATCTTGTAACCCCTCTTGGATAAACCTAGACGGTTGAAGCATGTTTAAACATATATTACGAAAAGGTTCATGTTCTTCATGTTTCATTTACCGCTTTAAACATGTTTAGTGATCCGTGCTCATGCTGAGGTGACATATGGTTAGCCTATCTGTTAAATTTTCCTTCATTGAAAACGAAAATGTTAATCTTTGTTAAAACTTAACATAAAAATGTGCCTGACCAATGAATGCCACAACTTGTAATACAAATGTCTGCCAATTTACCCTGATGTCGCTGTTGTGGCGCACCAAGGCTACTTGTTAATTTTCTGCACAACAAAAATAAAGATTTAAAAAAAATAAAAAATAAAAAATAATGAAAATGTATTTATGGTAATAGACATATTTTGATTGTTTTATGTGATAATGTATCACTATACTTTTACAGGTATATACAATGACAGCTTTCTTAAAAAATGAGATAAGAGGCTGTAAGTTTCATGGTTAAAAATAAATAAATCAATAAATTACATTTTATTTACCATTATACATAAGATATGACTATAGAAAGGGCAATTGCCAAAGTCTTTAATTTTACACAAACAACATTTTATACAAACAAAATAGGGTTACAAAAAAGTACTTTTACAAACATGAGCTATGGCACAGGTCTCCCAGCCCAGAATGGGCACACATGATTAACTTGCACTGGGTATCAACAAGCTCTAGCAAAAACCAAAGTAACAAAAACACAAACAAACCAAAAGATTATGAAGGAAGGGGCAGAAGAGATAATTTCCTTGCTCACAGAAATTATAAATAGGAAGCTAAGTAATAACACCGTGACAGTTACATGGTTCTGAAACATTGATGCACTCAGTGGCACAAGAGGTTGCTATACCAACAACATGTATCAGCAGTCATGTTACCTATTTCTTTCAGTACATCATGACCTCTTGTGGTCCCTGGACCTTGCTAGTTAATTTTTGATATTGCACATCCCTGGACATTCTTCCCAACATTTCAAATGAGTTTGGGAGGGGGGAATTTTTCATAGTGTGTGAATGCATCCATGTGTTTGGGAACATTACTGAGCATGTAGATATGACTTGGTATGGGAAAGCAAAAGGGAGATGACTAATGGTATATGATGAAGTGGGTGTATCTAACTGAGAGTTGAGATGGGTTAATATGACTGGGAGACAGGGCTGAATTTACTTTCAAAAGGTTACTCCAAACATTGAGATCACTACAGCCCATTGCAGGATTATGATTATTTTATTAATTTTTTTATGAAATATTTTACCAGGAAAGATACATTATGATGCCATTAATACACTTGAACCAATCCCTGTTAAGTGGGCAAATCGTTTTCTAATGGTTTGCCTCTTATGTGGTTCCCACCGCTGCCAAGTCTTCTCTAATGCCAGCTGACCAGTAACTGCAGATGCTAGATACCAGTCCAGCCATTTATTTATTGTCTTGCCAGCCAATGAAGTCCCACAAACACACACTATTTTTATATTTTGGTTTTATGATGTCCACCCAGCCTCTTTTCAGCCTTTGCTTGGCATTCTCATCCCTGGTGGCCGGAGGAATGCAGATTTGATTGCTGTGCTCAAGTTGCGTCACTCCCTGGCAGGTCCAGAACTGATTCCAGTGCTGGAGTCTTGTCACATCCTGGCTCTTGGCGTCACTACAGAATGCATGAGGGAGCACATTGATCACAACTCCCTTGTCATCGGTGCTTTTAAATGGTCAAAGTAGACTGCTGCCGCACAAAGCAGCAATGTGCTGTTATGTAGGTGTCTGCTATTCCTATTGGATGAGCACGCTGCCAAGTGAGGTACTGTGTCTCCAGGTTTTGCTGACTGGTGGACATGATAAGTGCATGACAAAGAAACATGAAATGTATGGCAAGTGTATCTGCTTGGATGGCAACATTCATAAAAAAGTGTATCTGCTTCCAATTTGCACATGGCGTAAATTGTACATAAATCGTAACAACAATAAAACAATACATGTTAATGCATATTTGCATTTGATTTAAGCTTAAAGTTTGGAATGCGTTTAAAATCACCTTATTGAAATACATTACAGTTAATTTTTCCCCTTATACAGAGAGATTGTGAAACTGATTTCCTGCTGTCTCCCATAATCATTTCTTGTTAGTCTCTTTACCTTTTATTTTCTAAGATTTTTTTTATTCAATGTGGAGGTGGAATGTGCAGTGGAATACATGAGCTCAGTCTAACATGATTTATAGCACCATCACGTGGCCATAATCAGTCATTGCAAAATTATCTTTCATGTTACACTATTAAAATTTCTGCTAGTACATTTTGATTGTTGGTAATTTGTAACAATTATAGTAATTCATTATAATATTTTGTATGCTTCCATAGTAAAATATACTAGCAGCTTTGTTATTCTATCACCTTGCATAGCAACCCTAGCTCCAAACAAAAACAAGAAACTGAAAGGCTTTTAGTCTTAATTTTTTCTCTATGTCATTTTTAAAATACAATAAAACTACTGTAAACTGCTGAAATATGTCCAATTTCTAATACCAAACATCTCAAAATTTAGAGTAAGGCTAGGTTATTACTCAAAAACTGGCAACTACCCACTTTATTCTAGAAAAGCTTTGGATTGGACAAGTCACAAATTATGATGGCTGCTAAATGGCACTGGATTATCGATAATTTAAAGGGCTAATATTCAATTATTCAGTGTTTAAAAATGGGGGTTACCTAACAGATTAAAAGTGAAAGGGGAGCACCTTTTCTAGTCATAGAAGGTTGTGGGGGTCCTAGGAAAACCCAACATTCAAAAAAATTTCATTTTTTTTTTTTTTTTTACATATTTAATTATTGATACAATTGCAAAAGCACCAAGGTCACCGTACGATCAAAGGGTTCTTTAGAGATAGGTGTACCAGCCACATCCAGCACAATGTCTCCTCAGTTACATTTTCATAAATAGGAATGTACAAGAAGGGGGAGGGGCTTAGTTAAAGGGGTCTCAAGAGGGGAGAGAACTGAATGAGAGGATTGAGAAAGAGCAGTGTATGCAAGGGATGGGAGGGTTTCCAGGGGGATGGACTCGACTCCAAATTGATTTAGAAATGTTAAAACGTACATCTCTTTTAGTCACATAAAAACTGCAAGTGCAGGACATCAATAAGTATATAAAAGAAATTGACAGGATTGGAATTTAAGGAAGGTAATACAAAAGTGTAGAGTCCAGTTAAAATAACTAAGAGCATCTACTTATCTAATAGCATCTACTGTCACCTTGTAACAGCTGGGTCTACCCCTAAGTATTAGGTATTGCAGGCTGGCTTCCAGGAGGGTCTGCGCACATGGTGTTAATTTGGGTTTAGAAAAGGAAAAGCGTCTCAGTTGGCTCTGCGTGTTCATAAAACATATAATCTTTTTCCTACACTAGCATGCTCATCTGAAGTTAGACAGCTTTTGTTGGAAGTGGAAGTGGCTCAAGAGGGGCTGACTGCTGGAGAGAGGCCCTCTTTTGTCATATTTTTCAAACACGATTTGAGAAAATGTGCCTGATTTTTTTTTTGTACCATAACCACAAAAATGACCTTTAGGAGATTTTGGTGTATAGCCTGCCTCTTGAATCTGTTAGATTTTTGTAAAGTATTACAGTTACGATCTGTTCCATTTCTTTTCAGAATGAATTAGTTTCAGGTTATTGCCAATGTAGAGTCTATTTATCCTTTAACACCCCATTACAATGCCCACTTTGCTTCCATGAATCCCTTTGATAGTAATGTTTATATGTATCAGTGACATATCTACTTTCCATTGCATTCTTGAAGCCCTCTGTTTAACACAATTATCTAAATGTTAATTAAATTGCTGTAAAATTTCAAAAAGCTTAAATTCTGCCTGGATTGGCAATTCTTGTATTTAAACTGTTTGAAATTTGATGTTTTCGAAGCAGATGCATTTGGTGTCAACTTTAACATCAACTTGACCCCCATCTAAATATAGGGAGATATAAAGCCTCCAAAAAGGTGGGCGCATATCTACGACATTATGAGCAGCCAGAAGCTGCTCACCATTAATTGTTTTGCAAAATTGAGATGTTTTTTGTTAAGTGTTTTGAACAATGTCTGGATTTAGCAGTCTGAATGTCCCTGTAGGGATGCAGATAGTTTTACCCCATTCAGTACAGAGTAAATTGGACTTTAGTGAATACACGTGTGTGTTATTTTATGGTTTTCATACAGGACAAGGTTGTTTATGCGCACTCACAGGGAATCCCCAAAAATACATCAGGATAAAATTGTAGAAAAATAATGCACATTTATTGTAGTAAAAAAGAAACTACATTTGGAAATATACTAGAACAGCAGTTCTCATGTATGCTATATTGGTCCAAGCGTAAGGAAATGAAAACAAGTTGTAAATTAACAAAGCATAAAAGGTCCAAAACCTGAGCAGAGGACCACCCGCAGCTGCTGTACAGGGGAGAGACCACCAAAGAAGCCGACCCTAAAGAAACATTAGAGAAGCCCTGGACGTGTTTAGCACCACTCTGGGTGCTTTCTCAACGTTGAAACATAAAGCTTTCTTAGTCCACATCCTTCACTATTCCATGATCTCTTCGCATTCCATGTTCCATTTCATACTCCATTTTATTCTGTATGTTAAGCCATCTGCCATATCTTTTCAGATTGCATAATCCAATCCCAAGTATACCTATTTTGGAAGGTCAGTCCTTGTTTTGGTACCAAATAAGGAGGTCTATTTTTTTGCTGTATCTGAGTATATAACATACAGTTAGGTCACTGTTTTGTTATTTTGGCTGTTTGCCAAAATAAATTAAAGTAAGAGTTAAATAATGAATATTGGTTTAATATCAGTTCCTCAGCTATAACATGAGGGAGGAAGAGTTTAGGAATTACAGCTCTTTAATATGCAGCCCCCTCTTTTTCAAGGGTCAAAAGTAAGTCGACAATTGACTCAAAAGCTGTTTCATGGACAGGTGTGCGCAGTTAAAACGTGATGTCTTCATCAATTAAGCAGTTAAAAGGTCTGGAGTTGAATCAAGGTAGGGCATTCACATTTGGAATCTGTTGCTGTGAACCCACAAAATACGGTCAAATGAGCTCTCAATGCAAGTGAAACAGGCCATCCTTAGGCTGCAAAAATAAAATCCATCAGAGAGATAGTAGGAACATGGAATGGCCAATTCAATAGTTTGGTACATTCTGAGAAAGAAAATCGTATGGATGATCGTAGGATTCTTTCCATGGTAACGAAAAAATGCCCTCACAACATCCAGCCAAGTGAAGAACACTTCAGGAGGTAGGGATGTTATCCAACTCTATCATAAAGAGAAGAC